TTAGGTCTTTAGTCCATTTTAAGTTTATTTTTGTGTATGGTGTTAGGGATTGTTCTAATTTCATTCTTTTACATGTAGCTGTCCAGTTTTCCCAGCACCACTTAATGAAGAGACTATCTTTTCTCCATTGTGTATCCTTGCCTCCTTTGTCATAGATTAGTTGACCATAGGTGCGTGGGTTTATCTCTGGGCTTTCTATCCTGTTTCATTGATCTATATTTCTGTTTTTGTGACAGTACCATATTGTCTTGATTACTGTAGCTTTGTAGTATAGTCTGAAGTCAGGGAGTCTGATTCCCCCAGCTCTGTTTTTTTCCCTCAAGACTGCTTTGGCTATTCAGGGCCTTTTGTGTCTCCATACAAATTTTAAGATTTTTTTGTTCTAGTTCTGTAAAAAAATGCCATTGGTAATTTGATAGGGATTGCATAGAATCTGTAGATTGCTTTGGGTAGTATAGTCATTTCCCCAGTATTGATTCTTCCAGTCCAAGAGCATGGTATATCTCTCCATCTGTTTGTATAATCTTTAATTTCTTTCATCAGTGTCTTCTAGTCTCCTGCATACAGGTCTTTTTTTCTCCCTAAGTAGGTTTATTCCTAGGTATTTTTTTCTTTTTGTTTCAGTGGTAAATGGGATTGTTTCCTTAATTTCTCTTTCTGATTTTGCATTGTTAGCATATAGGAATGTGAGAGGTTTCTGTGCATTAATTTTGTATACTGCACTTTACCAAATTCATTGATTGGTTCTAGTAGTTTTCTGGTGGCATCTTTAGGGTTTTCTATGTAGAGTAACATGTCATCTGCAAACAGTGACAGTTTTACTTCTTTTCCAATTTGGATTCCTTTTATTTCTTTTTCTTCTCTGATTGCCGTGGCTAGGACTTCCAAAACTATGTTGAATAATAGTGGTGGAAGTGGACATCCTTGTCTTTTTCATGATCTTACAGGAAATGCTTTCAGTTTTTCACCATTAAGAATGATGTTTGCTGTGGGTTTGTCGTATATGGCCTTTATTATGTTGAGGTAGTTTCCCTCTATGCTCTCTTTTGGGAGAGTTTTTGTCATAAATGGGTGTTGAATTTTGTCAGGAGCTTTTTCTGCATCTATTGAGATGATTATATGGTTTTCCTTCTTCAATTTGTTTTATGCTGTATCACATTGATTGATTTGCATATATTGAATAATCCTTGCATCCCTGGGATAAATCCCTCTTGATCATGGTGTATGATCCTTTTAATGTGTTGTTAGATTCTGTTTGCTAGTATTTTGTTGAGGATTTTTGCACCTATATTCATCAGTGATATTGGTCTGTAATTTTTTTTTTTGTAGTATCTTTGTCTGGTTTTGGTATCAGGGTGATGGTGGCTTCATAGAATGATTTTGGGAGTGTTCCTTCCTCTGCAGTTTTTTGGAAGAGTTTGAGAAGGATGGATGTTAGCTCTTCTCTAAATGTTTGATAGAATTTACCTGTGAAGCCATCTGGTCCTGTTATTTTGTTTGTTGGAAGATTTTTGATTACAGTTTCTATTTCATTACTTGTGATTGGTCTGTTCGTATTTTCTGTTTCTTCCTGGTTCAGTCTTGGAAGGTTATACCTTTCTAAGAATAGGTCCATTTCTTCCAGGTCCATTTCATTGGCATAGAGTTGCTTGTAGTAGTCTCTTAGGATGCTTTGTATATCTGCGTTGTCTGTTGTAACTTCTCCTTTTTCATTTCTAATTTTATTGATTTGAGTCCTCTCCCTCTTTTTCTTGATGAGTCTGGCAAATGGTTTATCTTCTCAAAGAAGCAGCTTTTATTTTTATTGATCTTTTCTATTGTTTTCTTTGTTTCTATTTCATTTATTTCTGCTCTGATCTTTATGATTTCCTTCCTTCTACTAACTTTGGCTTTTGTTTGTTCTTTCTCTAGTTCCTTTAGGTGTAAGGTTAGATTGTTTATTTGAGATTTTTCTTATTTCTTGAGGTAGGCTTGTATAGCTATAAACTTCCCTCTTAGAACTGCTTTTGCTGCATCCCATAGTTTTTGGATCATTGTGTTTCCTTTGTAATTTGTCTCTAGGTATTTTTTTATTTCCTCTTTGATTTCTTCAGTGATCTCTTGATTATTTAGTAACGTATTGTTTAGCCTCCATGTGTTTGTGTTTTTTATGTTTTTTTTCCTGCAGTTGATTTCTAATCTCATAGCGTTGTGGTCAGAAAAGATGCTTGGTATGATTTCAATTTTCTTAAATTTCCTGAGGCTTGATTAGTGACCCAGGTGTGATCTATCCTGGAGAATGTTCTATGTGCACTTTAGAAGAAAGTGTGATCTGCTGTTTGGATGGAATGTCCTATAAATATCAATTAAATCTGTCTGGCCTGTTGTGTCATTTAAAGCTTGTGTTTCCTTATTAATTTTCAGTTAGGATCATCTGTCCATTGGTGTGAGGTGTTAAAGTGAGGTGTTAAAGTCCCCCACTATTATTGTGTTACTGTCGATTTCCTCTTTTATAGCTGTTAGCAGTTGCCTTATGTATTGAGGTGCTCCTATGTTGGGGTGCATATATATTTATAATTGTTCTATCTTCTTCTTAGTTTGATCCCTTGATCATTATTTAGTGTCCTTCCTTGTCTCTTGTAACATTCTTTATTTTAAAGTCTATTTTGTCTGATATGAGTATTGCTGTTCCAGCCCTCTTTTGATTTCCATTTGCATGGAATATCTTTTTCCATCCCCTCACTCTCAGTCTGTATGTGTCCCTAGGTCTGAAGTGGGTCTCTTGTAGACAGCATATATATGGGTCCTTTTTTTTTTTTTCCATTCAGCGAGCCTGTGTCTTTTGGTTGGAGCATTTAATCCATTCACGTTTAAGGTAATTATTGATATGTATGTTCCTATTACCATTTTCTTAATTGTTATTGGTTTGTTTTTATAAGTCCTTTTCTTCTTTTGTGTTTCCCACTTAGAGAAGTTCCTTTAGCATTTGTTGTAGAGCTGGCTTGGTGGTGCTGAATTCTCTTAGCTTTTGCTTGTCTATAAAGCTTTTGATTTCTCTATCTAATCTGAATGAGATCCTTGCTGGGTAGAGTAATCTTGGTTGTAGGTTCTTCACTTTCATCACTTTAAGTATATCATGCCACTCCCTTCTGGCTTGTAGAGTTTCTTCTGAGAAATCAGCTGTTAACCTTATGGGAGTTCCCTTGTATGTTATTTGTCATTTTTCCCTTGTTCCTTTCAATAATTTTTCTTTGTCTTTAGTTTTTGTCAGTTTGATTACCATGTGTCTCGGCGTGTTTCTCTTTGGGTTTACCCTGCCTGGGACTCTTTGCACTTCCTGGACTTGGGTGGCTATTTCCTTTCCTGTGTTAGGGAAGTTTTCGACTATAATCTCTTCAAATATTTTCTTGGGTCCTTTCTCTCTCTCTTCTCCTTTTGGGACCCCTATAATGAGAATGTTGTTCTGTTTAATGTTGTCTCAGAGGTCTCTTAGGCTGTCTTCATTTCTTTTCATTCTTTTTTCTTTATTCTGTTCCGTGGCAGTGAATTCCACCATTCTGTCTTCCAGGTCACTTATCCGTTCTTCTGCCTCACTTATTCTGCTGTTGATTTCTTCTAGTGTATTTTTCATTTCAATTATTGTATTGTTCATCTTTGTTTGTTCTTTAATTCTTCTAGGTGTTTTTATTTAATTCTTCTAGGTCTTTGTTAAACATTTCTTGCATCTTCTCGATCTTTGCCTCCATTCTTTTTCCAAGGTCCTGGACCATCTTCACTATCATTATTCTGAATTCTTTTTTCTGGAAGGTTTCCTGTCTCCACTTCATTTAGTTGTTTTTCTGGGGTTTTATCTTGTTCCTTCATCTGGTACATAGCCCTCTGCCTTTTCATCTTGTCTGTCTTTTTGTGAATGTGGTTTTTGTTCCATAGGCTGCAGGATTGTAGTTCTTCTTGCTTCTGCTGTCTGCCCTCTGGTGGATGAGGCTATCTTAGAGGCTTGTGCATGTTTCCTGTTGGGAGGGACTGGTGGTGGGTAGAGCTGGGTGTTGCTGTGGTGGACACAGGTCAGTAAAACTTAATCTGCTTGTCTGCTGATGGGTGGGGCTGTGCTCCCTCCCTGTTGGTTGTTTTGTCTGAGACGACCCAACACTGGAGCATACCCGGGCTCTTTGGTGGGGCTAATGGCGAACTCTGGGAGGGCTCAAGCCAAGAACTTCTGCTGCCAGTGTCCTTGTCCTCATGGTGAGACACAGCCACCCCCCCGCCTCTGCAGGAGACCCTCCAACACCAGCAGGTAGGTCAGGTTCAGTCTCCTATGGGGTCACTGCTCCTTCCCCTGGGTCCTGATGTGCACACTACTTTGTGTGTGCCCTCCACGAGTGGAGTCTCTGTTTCCCACAGTCCTGTCAGAGTCCTGGAATCAAATCCCGCTAGCCTTCAAAGTATGATTCTCTAGGAATTCCTCCTCCCGTTGCCAGACACCCAGGTTTGGAAGCCTGACGTGGGGCTCAGAACCTTCACTCCAGTGGGTGGACTTCTGTGGCACAAGTGTTCTCCAGTCTGTGAGTCACCCACCCAGCAGTTACGGGATTTGATTTTACTGTGATTGTGCCCCTCCTACCATCTCATTGTGGCTTCTCCTTTGTCTTTGGATGTGAGGTATCTTTTTTGGTGAGTTCCAGTGTCTTCCTGTTGATGATTGTTCAGCAGTTAGTTGTTATTCTGGTGCTCTCGCAGGAGGGAGTGAGCGCACGTCCTTGTACTCTGCCATCTTCCTCACAACACCCCTGAACGAAAGCTCTGTCTTTATTTCTGTCTCATCGATCAGGAGACCATGCTGTCAGGGTGAAGCATTTGAATGTACTTGGATTTCTACTTCCGTTTCGTTAAAACACTTTAAAATGTTTAATTCTTTGACTTGTATAGAATGTGAACTTTAAATTAATTTCCTTTCAGTATGATACCATTCTGAAAATTCTGCCGAGGAAAACAAATTAACCAGGCCTTTCATTTATTTACAGCTTGGAAGACTTTCGTGATTGGATTTCTAAAGCCATAAATTCTCAGGAAACGGATGGCCTCATCAATTCTGTGAGTTGTTCAAACGCATCGTGTGTGCTCTGGGTGTTTTCCTGGATTCGGATTTACAGTCCGCTATTTAGTAATCTTAATTATCTCGTGCTGTGCAAGGCCAGGTCATGTGTCCTGCCTTCTTGGTAAATAGCAGTCCTTGCTGGCCCCGTGAAGGGTGCCCCCCCCGCCCCCATCTTTGTGAGGCTGGAGCTTGAGCTGCTTTGTGATGCTGGGTGTGGAGATGGTTTTCACTCTTCAGGCACCACTGTTGAATCAATCCGTTTTAGTAGAGAGTATCAGGATGATGGGCTTCCCTGGTGGCGCAGTGGTTGAGAGTCCACCTGCCGATGCAGGGGACACGGGTTCGTGCCCTGGTCCAGGAAGATCCCACGTGCCGCGGAGCGGCTGGGCCCGTGAGCCATGGCCGCTGAGCCTGCGCGTCCGGAGCCTGTGCTCCACAACGGGAGAGGCCACAACAGTGAGAGGCCCGCGTACCGCAAAAAAAAAAAAAAAAAAGATGAAGACAAAAGAGTGAGAGACATCAGTATTAAGTCTGTACATGGGATGGCCTGCTGTGATGATTAAACATACTGTCTGTGTTAATTGATTAACATGGACGTATCTTTGTCCACTTTTGGACACACTTGCTGGTACTCTTGCTCCTTTGTGGTCATTTATCAGCGTGGCCACGGAGAGCTCAGCAGGCGGCACATAAACCAAATAAAGTGAAAAACCTAACCTCTAGGTGGGGTCTTTACAAAGGCGAATTAAAGTACTACCCAGAACAATGATCCTTGGCTTTCACGCTGCTAATTTCTTCCCTAAAACACAGGAAAGTATAGTTTACTCTTTTGTATTATGAACTGTTTGCATTTTTCTCCTCTTTTCCGGCAGGAGCTGGGGTCTCCGAGCAGGGCGGGTGACCCCCCACCAGAGACCTGGCGTCAGTCGGCGGCCCCCCTGCGCCTCCGCTGCGTGGACACGTTCCGCGGGTACGTGGGCTCCCTGGTGACCCGTGGGCACAGGTGGCCTCGGGTGGCACGTTCACAAGTCCACCCACTTGCAGCGGGAGGCATTTCACGTGCCTTTTACTCTCTAGGCTAGAAAGGATTTCCTGCCCAAAAGAGAAATCGGCAGCCTCTCCTGCCTTGAAAACTGTCACGAGAGCCAGGGTGACGTGTCACTGGAGAGCAGCAGTGGGAGAGGCCGGAGCCCGTCTCCCCTGGTGCACAGGTGCTGCTGAGAAAGCCACTCACACGTGTGAGCAGCTGCCCGAGGGCCCCGTGTCCGCTCAGCCCTGGACCAATGGGCCAGTGCCCCAGTCTGGAAATGGAACCCAGGACAGCCCTCGGCCTCCTCCACCATTCGCACAGCAGCTCGGATATCAACTGACAGCAAATCCACAGAGTCCTGCAGTAAATTGTTATTTTCCGGTTCTGGGAAAAGAACGAAGGCCGGGACCAAACTCTGAAAATAGAGTCTAAGACTGTATGGCTGAAAAGCAATATCTAGGTGTCGGGTCTTCTGTTTCTCCCACTGAGGCCTTTCAAACTCCAGTGATAACCTGATAACTGACCCAGCTTCCCGAGCTCTAAGTGCTCCTGTGTGTGCGCCCAAAGCCAGGCAGTAATAACGGTAACGATACTAATAGTAACCACTGCTAACAGTTTTGAGTCCTCATGGTATGCCAAGCACTGTTCCAGCTTGTCTTAATTTCTTTAATCTTTTAGCAATCCTATGAAGTATATACTTGTAATAATACACCTGTTTCACAGATAAAGAAATTGAGCCACAGAGTTGAGTAAGTTGGGCTCCAGAGTGCCCACAAATTACCCCCTGACATACTAACGTTTTTATTCCCCGTATTCTGAGAAATTAGCAGCAAACAACAGCACATGCAGAATCTGTTTTATTGTATTCCTCTTTCTTTCGGAGATGTTCACAGGTGGACGGGAGTTGACATTGATTTAAGTGCTAAGATGTTTCAAGCACCGTTTAGGTGCTGTGATGTACGTTACTCTCCATCGTGGTGCCTGTGGTCCCCAGGTCAGGGGTGTCCCTCCTCACAGAGAACTGATGAGGGGCTCGCCTGAGGTCCAGTGGCTCCTAAGAGAGAGGGACCCAGGGCTTGACCCTAAAGACTGTCCCCTCCCACTACAGTTCTTTAACCTGAGACATCTAAGTAATTAGCACAAAGTGGAGTGATCGGGAATGTTTTGCACCATTTTCAAGTTACACAGTTCAGTGTTGGTGTAAGTTTGTCTTCAGACGTCATGTTGGAAATGTTGGCAGAGAGGACTTTAGCGCGGGGTCCTAACCGTGATGGTTAGAAGTGGGAGTTTCCTGCTCTTTCAGCGTCTGCTTGTATTGTGACGGCACCTGTGTCCTGCAGTCAGGCCATCCTTGTCACACGCCCAGGCCCTGAGAGTGTATCTTTGTGGCTTTGCAGGATCGCTCTCACCCTCATGGTCTTTGTGAACTACGGAGGTGGGAGATACTGGTACTTCAAGCACGCGAGTTGGAACGGTAAGACACCACCGAGAGGTCGCCTTGCTGACGCGGGCCCTCTGAGAGCCGCAGGTAGGAGGGCTCCTTGGCGTCCCCCAGGGGTTCCAGAGGTGAGCCCCACAGAGGCCCCTTAGGTCGTTCTGTCAGCCTTCAGCTCTGCTCTTCCTTTCACGTGCTCTGACTCCGAGATGCCTCGCTGCCATCACGTTGTACACGGTCCCTGTGCTCTTCTAGGTGTGCCCCGTGCCTCAGCCGCACGGGCATCCTGCCCCGAGACTCATGGTCCCCCTGGGATGCCGTGGAGCTGGGGGTGGTCTGAGTGGCGCTGAACAGTGGCTGTGAATCTGGCTGGGGGGTTGCTTTAGGATGGGTTTTGAGTAAGATCTGCCTAAGAGCACAGATTGTCCACATACTTCTCTGTGGTGCTCCCACAGCAGGGGTGCTCTCAGGTGGTGCCCGGGCTGGCCCCTGGCCACAGAGTCCAGGGAGCTCGGTGCTGCCTCATGAGGTTTACCCAGGGCTTTCCCTGTCAGTGTGAGACAGAAGCCTTCCTGGGTCAGGGAGCACCGGCGTTCCAGGTCCTTTCCTCACTGTCGTGCTTGTGTTCTTCTGCAGGACTGACGGTGGCTGACCTCGTGTTCCCGTGGTGAGTTGCAAATCCGCCATCCGCTCTTCGTAGCCCATCTGCAAAGTTTTGTTTTCAGTGGATGCTGGACCTTCCCAACACCAGCCTTGAGTTCCGGGCTGCGGGCCTGTGCTGCCCACAGGTGGTAGCGTGATGAGGTCCTTCCGAAAGCCGGGTTTCTGAATCATTCTGACACTTGGGCTCGTGCTTATCTAAGAGACGTGAGAATAAAAGACTGCGATTTCACAGGGAACATTTTATTAGTGTGGATATGATGTACAAGATCTTGGAATCTCGTAGGAAATCATAAATTCTGAATATTCCACTAATCCTGAAAATAAATTTAAACATCTTAGTTCCTAAAAGGTATGCAGTATATCAGTATCAGGGAATATAGATAAGTATGTAGCAGTTAAGGATAGTAATAAGTTACACTTTAAAATAATAGTGGAGGACTTCCCTGGTGGTGCAGTGCTTAAGAACCTGCCTGCCAATGCAGGGTGCATGGGTTCAAGCCCTGGTCCAGGAAGATCCCACATGCCACAGAGCAACTGAGCCCGTGCACCACAACTACTGAGCCTGCGCTCTAGAGCCCACGAGCCACAACTACTGAGCCCACGAGCCACAACTACTGAAGCCTGTGTGCCTAGAGCCCATGCTCTGCAACAAGAGAAGCCACTGCAGTGAGAAGCCCGTGCACCGCAACGAAGAGTAGCCCCTGCTCACCACAACTAGAGGAAGCCCGTGTGCAGCAACGAAGACCCAATGCAGCCAAAAATAAATAAATAAACAAATTAAATAAATAAATAAATAAATAATAAAATAAAATAAAATAATAGTGGAGTACCCCGCTCTGCCCGGAGCATTCCCCTGCTGAGGGACTCTGGCCCCTGCACAGCGTGGCTCTTGTGTCTTTGCTGAGATGCTTTGAGCGGCTTGCCTCCACCATTTATAGGCAGGACCAGCCACTGGTTTGCGTCTTTGGTCCCCAGTGTTTCACTGCTAACGTGAACTCAGGTTTATCTGAGTGGGGGAGGAGTTCCTTTTGTTTTAATTGACGTATAGTTGATGTACAATATTATATAAGTTACAGGTGTACAATATAGGGATTCACAATTTTTAAAGGGTACACTCCATTTATAGTTATTATAAAATATTGGCATTCCTTATGTTGTACAATACATCCTTGTAGCTTATTTTATACCTAGTGGTTTGTCTGTCTTTGATGGAAGGCTTGTCCATGGAAGCTGCAGTCAGTCCCGAAGGATCTCCCCCTAAGACAGGACAAGAAGGTGCACAGTCCTTCCAGCCCAACATTCTGATTCTTCTCCACCACTAAACCGGATGTGGTTTCAATCGTCAGTTTCTTTCAAAAATCATGTGTTGCTTCTCTTATGTAGTAGATTATAAAATACTAATGACATAGAGACAAAGTTGAAAGTGGCCATCTAGTAACAGCTTTGTTTTTTCAGGTTTGTGTTTATTATGGGATCTTCGATCTTTCTGTCAATGACTTCCGTTCTGCAGCGGGGATGTTCAAAATTCAGATTGCTGGGGAAAATTGCGTGGAGGAGTTTCCTGTTAATCTGTATAGGAATTGTCATTGTGAACCCCAATTATTGCCTTGGTCCACGTGAGTATTTTTTCCCCTCTGTTAGAATGTATTCAGGTTGAAATAGGGAAACGATGTGTTATAATTTGAAAGAAATGCAGTTTCTCCGTCTCATGTACCTGCAAAAAGAACAGTTACTAGAAAAGTATATCTAATGCTTGTATGACTTTGGGCATTATCATTATTACTATCTTGGAATTTTAGGCCTGGGAGGCGCCACCAGTCCACTCAAACCCTTCTGTACAAGGGAAGACCCTGGGGCCGGGAGAGTGAGTGCTGTGTCCGTGTGTAGTGAAGGGCAGAGCAGGGACCACACTGGTTCTCAGAGCCACCCTCCTGCCGCTTTGGTTTCACCAGCTTTCACAGTAAGGCTGTTGTTCAAGGGTCCACCTTGCCATCACCTGAATGCCCCCGGGCTGTGGGAAAGGTATGACATCTCTGTCACTGAGTGGCGTGAGAGGGACAAGAAAGCTGAGGGAAGGATGTGAGTGAGCCCTGTTCTGGGGACCAGTGTCGGAACTGGGGAAGGCAGCGGCCACTGTCCTCAAGGGGCTTACGGTGTCATTAGCAGAAAGAAGACGTACTTATCCAGGCAGGTGCCAGGTGAACCCCTCAGGCAAGAAGCACTAAGGCTTCAGGCGACGGGAGGAGGTGGGGTGCTAAGGGAAGGTGTCACAGAAAAGTCCATTCGATGGATCCCCCAACAGAGGGCCACTGCTCCCAGGAGGACACACTGCGGGGGTCCTTATAGGGTTACCCTCGGGCAGTGATACAGTCACGTAGCCTGCATGGCAGGGACAGTCCGCGGGCTGCGCTGGGTCTGCAGGCTCCTGCTGGATGTGAGTTGAGTCCACACTCCTGATGGGAAAGGCCGGGGCGGGGTGGGGCAGGGCTTCAGGGCCGAGGGCGTCTGCGCTTTATCCCCACACCGAGCCGGACCCGCCCTGGCTCTTAGCCCAGCGTCACTGCCGTGTGTGAGCCAGGCCCTTGACCACGTGTGTTTCCATCTCCAAGAGCTTAACTTCCTCAGATGCAATGGAAGTCTGTCTCCCCCCTCAGGAAACAGTGGTGTCATCTTGGGGTGAAGTGAGCAGTGCCGGCTGACACCCCTGCACCCTGTGCGTCCCGCAGTGTCCTGGGAGAAGGTGCGGATCCCCGGCGTGCTCCAGCGGCTCGGGGGCACCTACTTTGTGGTCGCCGTGTTGGAGCTGCTCTTTGCCAAGCCCGTGCCTGAGATCTGCACCTCGGTGAGAAACCCTGCACTATGAAAGGGGGAGAGGTCCCTGTTTAGGTGCTAGAACTTCCTTTAGTTTTGAGTGCAGTACCAGAGACTACAAGACTCTTTAACTCAGTTAGTCAAAAACATTCTTTTTTCTCTTCAATTAGTTATTTTTATTTAGTCTTTATATCAATCTTCTTTTAAATTGTGGTAAAAAACACATAACATGAGATCTACCCTCTTAACACATATTTCAGTTTCCATTAATCAAATGAACGTGATGGCGTTAAATAACATCACCATCTTCTAGTTGGCTGGTCCAGCCTCTTGGGGGAATTACTGCCAGTTTTTCAATTTCCTGGTGGTAAGGATACACAAAAACCTCACAGAACATTTCAGTGTCTATACACATGCTGCAGAGGTTCGACTTGGACAGTGCCAATGTTGGGCCAGGAGATGACAGTTCCGCCCTGGGCCGCTTCCTGTGTCTTCTTTGTAAGAAGTATGTGAGCATCTCACCTCTTTTGTAATTACTTTCTGTCTTATTATAAATTGCTGAGTTGAGTTTACTCAGATGACCACTATTTTTTTTCCCCCAACGAAAGTAAAACTTCAGGTGGAAATATTTAAATTCTTCCATTTGGGGTCCTACTTCACAGTAAGTTAATAAAGCTGTATTTGTTGTCCAGCTCCTTCCTGTGTGGGTAACTAGCAAATTCATCACTGAATCCCCGGTTCTCTTGGTTTTTCCTGTAATGATCCCTTGGTTTCACGTGCTTGGAGAGCATTTACACTTCACTCCTTCACACCGCGCCCCCCGACCCCTGCTGGCGCACCTGTGCCCTCTGCTGTAGGCTATGGAAGGCACGCAGGGGCTCCATGTGCACGTGTGAACCTGACCTTGCTGGCTGTGGGGAACCGGAGGGTCTGCAAGGCTCATCCAGGTCCCACAGTGGAGCCCAGGGCTGGGGGGACACCAGGAGTGGTGGGCTGCACCTCTCCTTCCCTCTCCTTCCATTTTAAGCTCCAAAAGCTTAAATTTTATTTTCCTTTTTTAAAATATAGCTGTATTTCTTTTAATTTAATTTAATTTATTTTTGGCTGTGTTGGGTCTTCGTTGCTGCGCGCAGGCCTTCTCTAGTTGCGGCGAGCGGAGGCTACTCTTTGTCGCTGCACGCGGGCTTCTCATTGCGGTGGCTTCTCTCGTTGCGGAGCACGGGCTCCAGGTGCGTGGGCTTCAGTAGTTGTGGCTCGCAGGCCCAATAGCTGTGGCTCGCGGGCTCTAGAGCGCAGGCTCAGTAGTTGTGGCGCACGGGCTTAGTTGCAGCGCGGCATGTGGGATCTTCCCGGACCAGGGCTCGAACCTGTGTCCCCTGCATTGGCAGGCAGATTCTTAATTACTGCGCCACCAGGGAAGTCCCTTTATTTCTTTTTAAAATAATAGCTTTATTGAGATATAATTCACGTACCATAAAGCTTACACATTTGAGGCGTAAAATTGAGGGATATTTAGTATATTCCTGGAGTCGTGCAGTCGTCACCACTGTCTAATTCTAGAACAATTTCATTATCCCCCAAACACCCTGTCCTCACTACCAGCCGCCCTCCAACCCCAGGTCCCCCCAGCCCTAGGCAACCCCTAATCTACTCTCTGTCTATAGATCTGCCTGTTCTGGACATGTCCTAGAAATGGAATTATAGAATATGTGGCTTTTTGTGTCTGGCTTCTTTCATTTAGCAGAATATTTTTTGAGGTTTATCCATGTTATACCATCAGTACTTGATTCCTTTTTACTTCTGAATAATATTCCATTTTATGAATGTACCACATTTTGTAGCCAGTCCTCAGGTGATGGATATTTGACTTGTTTCCACTTTCTGGATATTACGCATAGTGATTCTATGTCCATTTGTGTACAAGTTTTTGTACGAACATCTCTCTTCAGATCTCTTGGGTATAGGAGTGGAATTGTCCACTGATTTCTTCTTAACTGGCATTTTACTGTGCTATGTCATAGAGATGAAGCATCTAGACCACATGCCACATATGGAATAAACACGCGTCTATTTTGTGTTACTACCGTAAAGGCCACGAGGAGCGTCACAGAGAATTTTCTGAGTATATGTACTGCACTGTGTATTGTTTCCCATTCCACTTGCGTTTAGCTCACTTTTTTTATGCCCCGCCCCTGCAGGAGACAAGCTGCTTTTCTCTGCTGGACATCACATCCAGCTGGCCCCAGTGGCTCTTCATCCTGATGCTGGAAGGTGTTTGGCTGGCCTTGACCTTCTTCTTACCTGTTCCCGGATGCCCTACGTGAGCCAGCCCTGCGGGAATCCCCTTTTTGCCAAGTCCGAGCCCCTGGGTTACAGCTGTCGGATTTCCCACATTGGGACCTCCCTTCCTCTCTCTCTTCTCCCCTTGTGTGGGAGGGGGTTTGGGCACGTGTCCAGAGGCCTGTCTCCATGAGGTTTTCCAGGGTCGGTGGGACGGACGTTGGGCTTCCGCCTTACCCCTCGGGCAGCCGTCGAGTCAGGGGCCCCGCAGTGGACGTGCGTGGCGCCCCGGGGTCGTCAGGCTGGTGGGTGTTTGCGGCTCTTTGTGGGCACGCACATCACCAATGTACCTCCCCCTGCTCCTAAGTCTGGTGGGTGAAGTGCATGTTCTCGCTTCCCCAGCGGCTATCTGGGCCCCGGGGGCCTCGGAGATTGGGGCAAGTATCCGAATTGCACGGGAGGCGCTGCCGGCTACATTGACCGCCTGCTCCTAGGAGACCATCACCTTTACCAGCATCCTTCCTCGGCTGTGAGTGAGCCTGGCTCCAACTTGGAACCGGACACTGAGGGGAAGGAAGGGAAAGAGCCAACTCCGAACTGTGTCCACGAAATAGACTTGGGTGGAACGAAGTTTTATTTGAAAAGTTGGCTGACTTTACAGACTTCAGTTTAATGTTGGTTGTGGGCGGCATGTAGACATTTCTTTGGCTGTTAAAGTGAGACTGCCTGGTGTCAGGTGTGCAGCAAGGTGCTTTCTTGTACATCTCAGGTACGGGGACAGCTTCCCGTGAGGGAGGTCTGTCAGGCAGTGCTTTTGGGATCAGCACGTGTGGGTCTGGAGGAAACAGGACGGGGCAGTGGGGACAGCCACACGCAGGCCCCCGCTGGTCTCCTGGGGGCTGGGGCGGCCCTTCAGGGTTGTTCTCAGTGAGGTGAGGGACCAGGCCCTAGACATCCCTGGTGGGATGTGATGGCCTGGCCAGAGGGCGGCTCCTGAGGGGCAGCTGTCTTCAGGGACAAATCCAGAAGCTGCTGAGAGCTTTGGGCCGTGGGTACGTCTAGCAGCCGGGGGAGTGGATGCTTTAGTTGCAAAAGGGGTGGGATGGACAGGCGGGGGCCAGATAGCTGGGCAGTGCCTTCCAGCACCCACTGCAATGACTGGTTCCAAATTTCTGCCGTTTCTACAGGAACGATTTCTTTTATAATGACATAATACAAAGGTATTTTTCTTATCGTTATTTGCCTTAAAAGAAGAAAGGAAGCTGTCGACGTTACAGTAGGGTTGGCCGCAAAGAGTAAACCTGAAAATTAGAAGGTGTCATGTGTGGTGTTTGAAGCTGGTTAGGGACGTGTAGTGTCACAGCCACAGGGCCCAGCACGGTCTCCCATGTGGGGAGAGTGTCACATGCCAGAGTGTCACATGCCACACACTTTCTTGGCCAGGAGTATTCTGCCCGTCATCCCCATAAGTTAGCAGTGAATTTCTGCAGCAAAACCAAAAATGTTGAATACTGGGGTGTATCCGAGTTTGCATTTTGTCTGTGAGTTGCTGTGTGCTTTTTGTGATCCTTGGGTGAGTCCCGCCTTCTTGTCCTGCCCTGTCAGGTGCTTTATCACACCGAGGTGGCCTACGACCCAGAAGGCATCCTGGGGACCATCAACTCCATCGTGATGGCATTTTTAGGAGTTCAGGTATTTGTTCATTTCATGAGAATGCGTGTTCCTGACACTTCGTGGTTATTGATTCATTACTAATCCAAAAACCATTTGATTAAAATAAGTAACTGGAAGCACATCTTCTGTGTTTCAGACCTGACAGGTGGTCAAAACCAGAGGTTGCTGAAATTTAGCACCTTCGAATAATTAGGTATAATTCCTGTATTCTCCAAAGAAGCTATTCATACGGCTCATCTCGGCAGTGGGCGCACAGCAGCCCCTGGCTGAGAGGGGTCCCTGCTGGGCTGGCAGCCTTTGGAAGGTCACCTGTCACCTTGTGTGTACAGTTGGCACAGTTTCAGGTTATGCCTGTTTTATGCCAAAGTCAGTACAGGTTGTTCTTGGCTTCTTTCACGCGTTTGTTAGGATTCTGAGCAGTCTAGATTTTCCTTGCTGAAGTTCTCCTTATTGGTGTTTGAAACTATTATTTGCGGCGAGATGACGGGGAGGGGAAAGACCGGGTCCAGCCTCCTGCGGGGGGGCCTCTGCAACGGTAAAAATGCTCCGCGTGTGCTGTCCATGTGGCCGCTGAGTCCTCAGACGTGGCTGGTCTGACGGAGGAACTGGTTTTTAATTTTACGTCATTTAAATTTCAACTGAAATTGTCACAGGTGGTCAGTGGCTCCCACGTGGGACAGTGCAGGTCTACAGCATATACGTTTTGGTGATGAAATAATTTCCTATTTAGAGATACTGCCTTGCTCTCTGCAGCACTTTAGAGTTTACATTGGGTGCTTTTAGTCATAAATGCATTTAATCCCCCCACGTGCTCTCCAGGTAAATCTGCGCCTGCAGGACAGCCGAGGGTGGGTGCCGCGGAGTACAGCCCGGCGCCGGGGCCTGGACTTGACCCCGCTTACTAGCCGGGTCATCCCGGGAGTGTAACTGCACCCTCTGTGATTCAGTGGCACCCAAATAAGTAGGCGCACCTAAATCAGTTAATTCGCATAAGGTTCTAAGACCGGGACATTCATAAATTTTAGCTATTTTAAGTTATTATTAACACTTTCTCTGATGTTTTCAGAAATTAATTCCTAATTTGCAGGAGGGTGGGGCTATGCAAAGTCCAGATTTTTCTGTTTTTAAAGTGTTTCCCTGCCTCTGGGTCCACGCTGTTCTGTCCCTCTTCTGTACCCCTGCCAGACTGGGCCATCTAGCAGGCCAGCCTGAGCTGGTCCCTTGTCACTTTGTGGGGGAAAAGTGACTTTCCTTGGCTCCCATCACCTGTGGGAGAAAGCTCGTGCCTACCTGCTCCCACCTTCCCCCCTCTGCCCACCCCCGGCCTTTCTGAATTACCTGCAGCACCTCGGGGAGGCTGTGCGTTTTCACCCGTGTGACATACTCCTGTGCATGCTGTTCCTTACTGCCCAGACACTGTTACTGCTTTGTGCTCGTATCCTCAGCCTGGCGGTACCTCCTCTGTGCATCCCCTTCCCTCCCTCCCTCCTTCCCTCCCTCCCTCCCCAGTGGTCCCTGTGCCTCTAGGCCTCCACTAGCCAAGGGCAGGGGTACCGTTCATCCCCTCGTAACCCCGGTACCTGCAGGTGAGTCCGCCTGTCGAGCGGTTAGGACAGTGGATGAGTATGAAATAAGAACACATCGTAGGTGATTCTCTTGGTCATACTGTGCGTTTTCTTCCCCAGGCAGGGAAAATACTCCTGTATTACAAGGATCAGACTAAAGGCATCCTGATCAGATTTGCTACCTGGGGTTGTTTCCTTGTAAGTAGCGGTTGGTCCTCACTGAAATTCCTTCTCTTCACACATACACATTTCAAAGACATAAAATGTTTAGTGGCCGGCCGTGGGATAGACAGCAGCTGTCACTTCGCATCGGTAACACTCTTCACTTGAATATCAGAGAGGAAAAGTCTCGACACCTAAGTTCTCAGGTTGATTTTCTTAGGAAAATGTCTTTATAAATAAGTCAATGAAGATATGAGGAAATGGAGCAGAGGTGTGGGTTCTGGTGGGGACCTTTGCCAGAAGGACCAGGCCAATGATAACAGGTTCACTGGGGGCAAAAGATAAGCTTAGCTGTTCTTTCACCCCTGACCTGGCAGCCCTGTTTCCTCCACGGATTCACTCCAGTTGATAAGGTCGTTTACCTTCAACTCAAGAGTAATGCTGAAAAGAGGTTTTTTGGAGAACATTTTTAGTTAACACATCTTAAAAATGTTTTTCCAGTTAAAAGAATAAAACGGAGGGCACAGTTTTCAGCCTTCCCTAAGCAATTAAGTCACTCCTTTTCTTCAGTTTTGAACCACAATTGTTTCTTGAGATGATGTAAAAAACTTTAACATCTTCTCCCCGCTTCTAGGGGTTTATTTCTGTTGCTTTGACAAAGGCTTCCGAAAATGAAGGCTTTATTCCAGTGAACAAAAACCTCTGGTAGGTACAGAAAGTCTGTCGTTTTCACATCCGGTCGGGCTGGCATTGGATGTGCTCTCGGGAGCCCTGAGATGCCCGCTGTCCCCCAGGTCCATCTCCTATGTCACCACGCTGAGCTCCTTCGCCTTCTTCATCCTGCTGGTCCTGTACCCCATTGTGGACGTGAAGGGGCTGTGGACGGGAACCCCGTTCTTCTACCCTGGTGAGTCCCCCCCACCAACCGGCCCCAGGCCTCGCGGAGGAGGGGACCCAGTGGATGGGCCAGAGGCCGCGGGTGCCGGGTGTGTCCAAGGTGCCGACCGAGGGGGTCCGAGGGGGTCCATGCAGGGCGTTGCTGGGCCTGTCCCCGAGCAGCGCCACCTCGTTTTACCAGTTAGGTTGTGGGATCATAAATGCACCCCTCTGGCCGCTTCAGGCACGTCATCCAGTCCCTCGAGCTTCACAAACAGGGCCGTGCTTTCTCATGTAAACCCCCTGCCCTACAGGCGGTGCCTAAGAGACACCACGCGGAGATGCACGGGTTCTGCCCGAGATGAGAGACAGCAGATGACTTCAGTGACTCGTTTCAGCCCCGAGTCCAGTAACAGTTACGCTCATTGGTCCTCCAGTTTTCTGTGTGGAGAATATAAATGAATAATTCTGGCTTTCCTTTCAAATTTGGTATTCCAGAATTACACTTACCAAAGGAATGTTTTCTAATAATTTTTGAATAAGGTTCACACTCAAATCTCTAAGATTCGCATCACTTATTTTTGGAGTAGCCAATAACAAGTGGGCACTTTTTCTTTTTTCACTGAACTAAAGGCAAATTGCAAGAGTTAAGTGGATAACCAGCTGTGTTTCCCCAGGAATGAACTCGATCTTGGTGTACGTGGGCCACGAGGTCTTCGCCAACTACTTCCCCTTCCAGTGGAGGCTGGGGGACAACCAGTCACACAGGGAGCATCTCGTTCAGAACATAGTCGCCACTGCACTCTGGGTGCTCATCGCTTACGTTCTCTATAAGAAGAAGGTGTTTTGGAAAATCTGAGTCCCCAGCTGAGATGTGTTGCTAGCAGACAACAGGGCCTGGGGCATCATTAAAAGGAGCCATTCGTTATAAACCTGCGTATTTGCAGGTTATTGGGGGCGATGCGGACGTGCTCAGGCTGGTTGATTATCGGACGTGGCTCATCTGACTCTGTATACGTGAGACTCAGACGTCTGAAACGTGATTGTCTTTCCTCTCCATCTTCTGTAGAAATGGATGCCTTTGCAACTTCATTCTAAGGATTTCTCCTCTAATTTTTCACAAGGGAGTTAACCAGGCCATTTTGCTTCTGTGACCACCTACGGTCTGACCTTATGATCTTTCCTGCAGACTGCCTTTCTGTGCTGGTCCACGCCGACCAAGATACCACCGTTTCTGTTGTGTCTGACTGTGAAGCTTATTGGGTATAGTGTGTGGTAACATAGTCTAACATATTTCGGTTACGTACAGTTTAGTATTTCAAGAAATTCCAAGTAATCTCCTTTCAGATCTGTAAGTAACTGGTGGGTCCAAAAAAATGCCTTTCTATCAGAAGCCATTTTCTCCTTTTCCTCATTTGAAAAACAAGTGAAACAGTAGGTGTGTTATTCCCAGCCACCCTTGCATATACCTATCTCTCTACCCACCCACCTCCTGCCTGCCTGTCTGTCTTTCTGTCTGTGTGTCTGGGTGGTAGCTGGTCCCCCAGGCCATCCTCTGACTCTAGGAAGAGAGAGAAGCTCATGGTCTCGGCCGGGCTCCTGCTGTGGCGTCTTTGCCGGGTCAGACGCGAGGCAGGTCCCCTCACAACGAGGGACACGGTGCTGCCCGCTCAGCTCCCCTCCAGCTCTGAGACCCAGTGGGGTGGGAGACATCAGTGGCATTTCTGAAATCCTTAGAAAAATAATTTTGTTACAGAAAACTCTTCAAAATAAATGAGAAGTTTAAAAAACTCTCATCAGAGTAACTCTTTTCAGAATGACCCTCCACAGTGGAGGCAGCTTTCCTGCTTGGAATCACCAAACTGCAGAATTGTTTCTCAGGAGTGAAGGAGGAGAACACAGGGGACCAGCACCCCCGTTTTGCAGCATCCTACTTAGGGATTTCCTGTGAGAATTCCAAACTGAAGGAAGATGTGGCTATAGGTGTACTTTGGAGCATCCTTGCATGGTGAGACGGGGTCACTTCGACCTGTCCCCTGATGTCAGCTATCACCCTGCTTGGATAGTGAGTTTCCAGCTACCCCGTCTCTACCCGAACTCTCATCCCAACTTGTACCCGTCCACCTGGGTGTCCGCCAGCATTCAGGCTTCCCCCTCCACCCTCTCTTCTCAAACACAAGCCTTTCCGGCTTGGATTGTCCCAGCTCTGCAGACAGGTGACCCTCTGTCTCTCGGATAAAACTGTCTTTCACCCGCTTTACCTCCTCTGTCCCCCTTTCCCATGTTTAGTCATTGCCAAGTCGTCTCAGTTCTCACGGTCACTGCCTGTTACTCTTGCCCAGATGCCAAGAGGAATCATTTTTCAACCGGCCTCCTTCCCTCAGTCCCTCCTTCTGTAAAGCCACTGTCCACTGCCCCAGATTACACTTCATAAACAGAGCTGACTCACATCACCTCCTTATAAGCACTTACACTGAAGTTCGAACAGCTTTGCTGGCAGGTAGAGCCGTCCTCCGTTGAGCCCAGCACACCTTCTCGGCTGTGTCCAGCCCCATCAGCTGCCTCCTGCCCCTGAGTTTGATTAGTCCCCTTAATTTTCTCCCATCGACCCTTGACCTATCACATTTGCCCCCTGCTTCTAAGGCACCTTCTCTAATCTCTTAATCTTGTCCCTAAGTAATATTTTCTTGCTCTGAGTTCTCGTAATATCTGATTGGGCTCAATCTTGTGGCACTTGTTGCTCTCTGCCTTGCATGACAGTGATTTGGGTACATGACCAGTTTCCCACGCTGGCCTGTGAGCTTGTGGCGGATAAGGCACATTCTTCACGCACGCCACAGTGGCCCGTGCAGAGCAGGCACTAAATAAACGTGTGAAAGCAAAATGGGGTGGTGGGTTTGCTTTTCATAGGTAAAATTTCACGTGTATCTGGAGCTAATGTGTGTGTGTGCGTGTGTGCACGCGTGCGTGTGGGGAGAGCTGTCATCTTTGAGGAAACCCCTCTCTTGCGGTGCACATTTGTCATCCCGAGTCTCAGCAGGTAAGGCTGAGCTGGGCCTCTCCAGAAGCAGTTTTCAAGTCGGGGTGTCCATCGGTTAGGATGTCTTGAGCCGGATGGAGCAGGAACTCCCCATCCAGCTGGGTTATAAGCAGAGCATCGCACATAAGTGGTCCCACGGCGGGTGGGCTCCCGCTCAGGTCACTTCACGGCTGAGATGCCCACCCCACTGCCATCACGACAGACACACGCACTCGGCCAGCGCCACACGGGAGGGAGCGGGCATCCCCTCTGTGCCTCATAACGTTATTGGCCGGAAAACGCTCCCCAAACTGTGCAAGACCAGCCGTGACGAGGGAGCTTGGGCTGGCCTGGCCCAGGGCTGAGCAGGGACAGCTGGCACCTCCCTGGGGAGGGCAGGGAGTGTGCAGGGTGAGTGGTGGAGTGAGACATGGCAGCGGGGACAACCGTGTGCAGCGGTGGCTGCAGAAAACCCATGTCACAGTGCATCCTGTGGGGAAGTTGGGTGGAGTCCTTGTGTAACAAAGCAGAAAGTACTGTCCTGGAGTGGGGATGTAATAATTTGACATTGTTTATTCATTTTTTGCACTTATATTCCTAATTCCGCTTTATAATTAGGTGAATAAACTGCTGCTCTTACACTTGACCTCACTTCATTCTGGCCCATAAAGGGCCTCGTTCATAAATCTGGTTTTTATCAGATGGTATCAGCTTAAATGAAAGTCAACATACTATTTTTCCTTTAATGTAGTCCTTTTTTCCAAATAAATGGGGGTGACAAAAGGACTTTGAGAAATTTTCTCAACAAATCAAACTGCCTTTCAGAAAGAGATTTCCATCAATCGTAAAAAACCAGGGGTAGATCTTTAAAAATCCTAAGCAGTACGCTGTAGCAGCCATGGCCCTGTGAACAATGCAGCTTCTGAGGTTTTAAACACACCTTCTGTTTAAACTTTGAAATTAGGCGGGAAGACGCATCGCCAGTGGTTGTCTTCAGCTACATATCTGTGTAATCTGTTTTCACTGGTGTAGCAAGCCACCATTTTTCTCCCGGTAATCAGTTTTTGTTGGGCATTAGTTCCAAACATTTTTTTTTCTTCAGGCTACATGTGTTTCCGATTTCAAAGTTGATAGAAATGCTAGATGTTTGCGTCATGTCATAAGATGCTCCAGACCCTGTAACCCCCTTATCTAATTATGTATGTTGCAAACACTGCGCCAGATAAAAGATGCCAGCATCCCGCTAGCTTTCCTTTTCAGAATCCATCCCAAACGCAGCTGTAAGGACAGCTGGCCTCACTCCCCGCAGGGCCGAGCCCACGGCTTCCCACGGTGTCCATTACCATCTCGGGTCTGGTGGGATTCTGTCCTGACTGCTGGATTTTTTCGACAGAGGTCAGTTCTTTTTCTATTTTCCCACCTTTCATGGCTGTTTGTTCTTGCATTTTATCTTATTAGAGGTCACACCCTTCCACTTCCATAAATAAAGAGTTTTTCTTCTATTTGATTAAACTCTGTATGTCATTTGGCTTGTAAAGTGGTACCTCCGTCCAAATCCTGCCTGTTACAGCTCTGCCCAGGAGACAGCTCACATCAGTTTAACAAATCACAGGCGAAGCCAGCCCTTGTCAAAGATGAACAAAGCCAGAGGCTGCTAAAGCGGTGAGGCCAATGGAAAGAGGGTCCAGCGTGATCGGAACTAGTTTCCTGAAGCAAAAGGCTGGAGTTTGAAAGGCTGACTGGCTTTGGAAGGGCACTGGGAGCTGGGACGGGATTGGTCCACGTGACTGGGCCACCTGGGTTTGTTCACTCGCGCTTTTATGGAGGAGAAACAAACTTCTATCCTTATGGCAGGAGGCGGTGGTGCCACATGAAGCAAGGTACCCACGGAATTAGTCCCCATCCTCCCCGGATGTTTACATTTCAGAGAGAGCTCCTGGAGGAAACAGTTCCGGGTGGCAGTCTCACATCTCAGAGAACAGAGGGCGGGTTGAGCACTGCAAGCTTTCTAAAGGAGCAAAGAGTAAATTCTGGCGGTGGCAGCTTTCTCAGGCAGACGTTTTAAGGGCGCTGGGGTCATCCCGGGACACTCTTTCAGCTGCTGGAAGGCGGTTGCCCTTTGGTTGAGTCTCTCAGTGCAGGGCTTGGACGGACCCTGCTGTGCCAGTGGTGCGAGCCCTTCCTCATCTGCACACTTGGTCTGAGTTTCCATTCTATCCTGTGGCCCTTTTCCTGCAACTCTGCACAGCAACGCACCACCGAATTGAAAAAAAAAAAAAAAAAGATGATTGGTTCCCTTTTATCTGGTCCCTACACATGTGGGTGTGAGACAGTCTTATTTTGATGTGTGCTGCCCCCAGATGCCGATCTGAGGAAGGGGTTATGAAACCAAAAGGTGCCAGAGTGTTTACTTTGAAAGTTGCTACGGGCAACGCACGCCACGTTTGTAAAAACAACAGGATGGTTTAATATTTGTAATCCACTCATATCACAGTGATAAGCACTTTAAAATGAGCTAGTTGAAATATTTTCTGAAACCGGATGTCTATTCCTTAAGCCACTATATTGATCTAATTTTATTTTTAAAAATTTTATTGAAGTATAGTTGATTTACAATGTCATGTTAGTTTCAGGTGTACAGCACAGTGATCCAGTTATATAATTCTTTTTCAGATTCTTTTCCCTTAGGTTATTACAAAATATTGAGTATAGTTCCCTGTGCTATACAGTAGGTCCTTGTTGACTGTTTTACATATAGGATGTATATATATTAATCCCAAATTCCTAATTTATCCCTCCCCCTTCCTTTCCCCTTTGCTAGCCATAAGTGTTTTTCTGTCTATTTCTGTTTTGTAGATAAATTCATTTGTATCTTTTATTTTTTAGACTCCACATATAAGTGATATCATATGATATTTCTCTTTGTCTGACTTATTTCACTTAGTATGATAATCTCTAGGTCCTATTGCTGAAAATGGCATTATTTCATTCTTTTTTATGGCTGGTACATTTTATATATGTACCACATCTCTTTACCCATTCCTCTCTCGATGGGTACTTAGGTTGCTTCTAGGTCTTGACTGTTGTGAATAGTGCTGCTATGAAATTTGGGGTGCATGTAACTTTTCAAGTTATGGTTTTCTCTGGATATATGCCCAGTAATGGGATTGCTGGATCATATGGTTGTTCTATTTTTAGTTCTGTAAGGAACCTCCATACTGTTCTCCACAGTAGCTGCACCAATTTACATTCCCACCAACAGTGCAAGAGGGTTCCCTTTTCTCCACACCCTCTCCAGCATTTATTATTTGTAGACTTTTCGATGATGGCCATTCTGACTGGTGTGAGGTGATACCTCCATGTACTTTTGATTTGCATTCTCTAATAATTAGTAATATTGAGCGTTTTTTCATGTGCCTTTTGGCCATCAGTATGTCTTCTTCAGAGAAATGTCTATTTCGGTCTTCTGCGCATTTTTTGGACTGGGTCATTTGGTTTTTTGATATTGAGTTGTTTGAGCTGTCTGTACATTTTGGACATTAATCCCTTGTCGGTTGTATTGTTTGCAAATATTTTCTCCCATTTTTTGGGTTGTCTTTTCATCTTATCTGTGGTTTCCTTTGCTGTGCAAAAGCTTTTAAGTTTAATTAGGTCTCATTCATTTATTTTTGTTTTTATTTCCATTACTCTAGGAGATGGATCCAAAAAGATATTGCTGTGATTTATGTCAAATAGTGTTCTGCCTACATTTTCCTCTAGCAGTTTTATACTATCCAGTCTTACATTTAGGTCTTTAATCCATTTGAGTTTATTTTTGTATATGATGTTACAGAATGTTCTAATTTCTTTCTTTTACGTGTAGCTGTCCAGTTTTCCCAGCACCACTTATTGAAGAGACTGTCTTTTCTCCATTGCATGTTCTTGCCTCCTTTGTTGTGATTAATTGACCATAGGTGCATGGACTTATTTCTCGGCTTCCTATCCTGTTCCACTGAACTATGTGTCTGTTTTTGTGCCAGTACCGTACTGTTTTCATGACTGTAGCTTTGTAGTAGTGTGAAGTCAGGGAGCCTGATTCCTCCAACTATGTTTTTCTTTCTCATGATTGCTTTGGCTTATTCATGGTCTTTTTTGTTTCCATACAAATTAATTTTTGTTGTTGTTCTAGTTCTGTGAAAAATGCCATTGGTAATATGGTAGGGATTGCATTGAATCTGTAGATTGCCTTGGGCAGTATGGTCATTTTAACAATATTAATTCTTTCAATCCAAGAACACGGTATATCTAACCATCTGTTTTTTCATCTTCAGGTTCTTTTATCAGCATCTTATAGTTTTCAAAGTACAGGTCTTCTGCCTCCTTAGGCAGATTTATTCCTAGGTATTTTATTCTTTTTGATGTGATGGTAAATGGGATTCTTTCCTTAATTTCTCTTTCTGATCTTTCACTGTTAGTGTATAGAAATGCAGTGGATTTTGGTGTGTTAATTTTGTATCCTGCAACTTTACTGAATTCATTATGAGCTCTAGTAGTTTTCTGTTGGCATCTTTAGGATTTTCTATGTATAGTATCATGTCATCTGCAAACAGTGATAGTTTTACTTCTTCCTTTCCAATTTGAATTCCTTTAATTTGTTTTTCTTCTCTGATGGCTGTGGCTAGGACTTCCAAAATTATGTTGGATAAAAGTGGTAAGGAATTCCTGGCAGTCCAGTGGTTAGGACTTGGCACTTTCACTGCTGTGGCCCTGGGTTCACTCCCTGGTCAGGAAACTAAGATCCTGCAAGCGGTGTGGCATGGCCAAAAAAAAAAAAAAAGTGGGAAGAACACAGCAAGGAGGCAGCTGTCTGCAAGCTAGGAAGGGTGCTCTACTAGAGACCAATCAGCTGGCATCTTGATCTTGGACTTCCCAGCCTTCAGAACTCAGTGAACAGAGAAGGTGGGCTGTGTCGTGCCTACAGACCTGGATCAAGACCTGGATCGAGGAAGACCTTCTGCTCTGTGAGGAAGAAGCCCAGAGTCCCGGTGGGTGGAGCCAGGATGCCCCCAAGGCCTTGAGGACACAGAGCAGCTCCCCAAGCATAGAGCCAAGACTGAGAACCGTGGGCAGTCCCTCTCATCAGGAAACTTGCACAAGCCTCTTAGATAGCCTCATCCACCCACTTCAGAGAGACCCACTTCAGACCTAGGGACACATTCAGACTGAAAGTGAGGGGATGGAAAAAGATATTCCATGCAAATGGAAATCAAAAGAAAGCTGGAGTAGCAATACTCATATCAGATAAAATAGACTTTAAAATAAAGACTGTTACAAGAGACAAGGAAGGACACTACATAATGATCAAGGGATCAAACCAAGAAGATGATAGAACAATTATAAATATATATGTACCCAACATAGGAGCACCTCAATACATAAGGCAACTGCTAACAGCTATAAAAGAGGAAATCGACAGTAACACAATAATAGTGGGGGACTTTAACACCTCACTTACACCAGTGGACAGATCATCTAAACAGAAAATAAGGAAACACAAGCTTTAAATGACACAATAGACCAGATTTAATTGATATTTGTAGGACATTCCATCCAAAAACAGCAGATTACACTTTCTTCTCAAGTGTACATGGAACATTCTCCAGGATA